AGGGAATTCTGTCTGGGTTGTCAACCCAGACGGAATTCCGTCTGGGTTGTCAACCTAGACGGAATTCTTAATTCCGTCTAGGTTGACTTCCGTCTAGATTGATCAACCTAGACGGAATTCCGTCTAGTTTGAAGCAATCTAGACGGAAGCAAAATAAACCACTCAAACTAGACGGAATTCCGTCTAGATGAACTAATCTAGACGGAATTGCAATCAACCTAGACGGAAATTTCCGTCTAGGTTGATCGTTTTTCTACTAGTGTATGAACAAAATGTTCATGTATCAAAGTGTGCGCTATGGGAAATCAGTTACCAAAATTTCTCTTGTCTTGATTGTTTGCTAAAGATCTGAAAAAAGAAGAGAGAAATATTTGGAGGGAAATTTTAGAGGGAAAGAAAGAGAGAGGAACAATTTGGGGGGAAATTTTTACAGGATCTCTCACAAGATTTGGGGGAAATCGCCCAAAATTTTCCGCCCAAAATCAAGATGAAAAAATCGGCCAAAAGTTTCCACCGCCTACCCTCGCGTGAGAAGGCGGAACAAGGCTTGTTCCGCCTTCTTACGATGAATAGTTATATCTTCTTATGACGGGTTAAAGGGGATGTTGGGCTCACGGGTGGGATAGTTATTCCTTCCCCTATTTTTTCTGTTTGGCAGGCTAATGAAGGGTTAAACCCACTTAACCCCCCATTTATCCCCTTACCAAACGCAACCTAAAGTAACTATTGTAACATATGCTCTGCAGTAACTATTGTAACATTTGCTCTAAAGTAACTATTGTAAGGTGCGCCTTACGATTTTACTATCTTCTTTGTAGCTTATTTAGCAAAATAATATGTCAACCTATACCCATTATTTCCTATTTATATAGGAATCATGTACAATTAGAGATGTACAGAAAGTTGTATGAATACCCATAAATACAGATCTTGGAGCTTCGAAGTTGTAATGGTCAAAGATTATGAATGGTCAAATGTAGCTCTGTTAGAAAATACTTTGTAGAAGTAAATAACAGTTATAAAGTATATATAAAAATTGCAAAATACTGATTTGAATGAACATAACTACCCAAACTTTGGCAAATATAGTAATACATTAATTATGCAATAATGTTTCAACCACCTTACGCATATTTAATCTATGCTGACACTGGCGCATTCAATTTTGTTATAATTCACAAACTTTTGATTATTTGTTGGATCTTGAATTATTAACTCCCACATTGAATATATATTAATGATTGGTCAGGAAATATCCAGTATTACTGATACATTATATTAATGATTCACTAAAGAAATGTCTAATCTTGAATAAGTAGTAACACTAATTAAAGGATTGACATATTGCACAATATTAAAGCAAGTATTCTCTCTAGCTGTCAGGGATAATTTCAAGGAGAAGGACACCCAAACTTTTATACTTGTACTGCTATAGAAAGGGGATTGGGGTGTTAAAACTTGTAATTTTATTTTTTGACCTCTTAAAAATTGATAAATTCTAATTATCAATAATATTATAATTATTAATAATATTATAACTATTTAATTATTTAATAATAATAAAATAAAATAATTTATAAAATAAGTACACACAATTATTAGTAGTAACCAATTAAATTATTATAATAACTATTTATGAATTACAATAAAATAATTAAAATAATAGTATAAATAGAATAATATATTACTAAATACTATTAAGAATTATACTATAATCAAATAAGCAATAAAATAAATAGAATAAATTTTAAATCGCGTGCGTATTATAATTTTTTAATAATATCACATAAATTATGAATTATACTATTTATTTAGTATTATATTATTAAATAAATTAAGTAAATAATTTAATATTTTTTAAAGTATTTTCTCAAAGATTATTAGATGATACTAAATAATCTATACTTGGTAATGATTGGAAACTAATCTTTCTATAAAAAACTATTTAATATTAATAATAGTGTTGTTAATTGTTAATGATAGTATAGTAGTACTATTCAATAGGTAAATGGACCCTATGAACATTCAAAATCACACTAAACCCTTAAAGAAACCATTATTTTTACTTAAATTACTCCAAACCCCCACTTACTTTCAAAATGCCTTTTAATGCCTTTTCACAGTTATAATTTATAAGGTTATCTTCAAATTTGAGAAAGTTATTGTGGATATTCTTTGTAACAGAATAGTCATTAGGGGTTTAGTGTAATTTTGAAGTTCATATGGGCTGAAGTTCATAAGGGTTTAGTGCAATTTATCCTATTAAATAATTATAATAAGAAGTGACTATTGCAATATATTGCAGGTATCAAGTGTAACTATCTAGTGAGCATCCGGCAAAAGCTAGCAAGATTAATGTAGCTTAATTAAATTAGAGTTACGTGAACAACTTTCAAATTGGAGGATCATATTTAAGAGAACTTATAGAATTGATAGTTTTATTTAAGAATAGTTTTAGATTTGGGGGGACTTATTTAAAAAAGCTTAACATTGGGCGATCATTACAAGAAAACATTCAATTACAATAACTACACAATAATAGTTAATTCAAACATTTCTTTTTAAGCAAGCTTATTATATAATTTTATTTGTTAACACGTAGTTTTATAATTCAATAAAAAATCAAAACTTAAAGATGTACGTTCACGTGCTTTGCACGTGCATTAAACTAGTTATTGCTATATAATAATATAGCCGTGTATTATTTGCATAATTTTTTTTTGTAGAGTTCTATATGTAAAGCTCATTCTTTAGACCCTTGTTTCAGTTTTGATATCTCAATAGTTGAAATGAGATTCTTGATGTACATAAAACTCTCTATTTGATGAATGAATAAAATCTCTTCATTGACCAAAAAAAAGATATGTGAACTCCACTATCCGTGTGATATGTTCCACTTTCTTTAATGATGTAAATAAATAAATAAACCCAAGTTTGTTTCTATGCAATATTAGCTAAAAGGAAATTAAGAAATGTGTAAAATAAATAAAAAGGGCGGGAGTCTGATGGTGCAAGTTAGCGGGAGATCTAAATCTTGCTAACTTGCGCCCCTGCCTTGTTTAAGAGGAGCGGTAAAAGTCTTTTTAATATAGGATTGTGAGCTTCCAATTCTAATCCGGCTGAATCTGGTGATCAATTTGATATGAGTTTTGATGAAGATGATGATGATGTTGATATTATTGCAATGGGCTCGACTGGTCCGAAAGGGGAAAAGAAGAAGGTATTAATGGAGGATCTACTTCGATCTAAGGATCTAATGGCTTCTCAGCAAGTGAGGTATTAATGGAGGATCTACTTCGATCTAAGGATCTAATGGCTTCTCAGCAAGTGGTGAATTCTTTCCCGTTGAATAGAGCTCAAGCTCCTCGTATTCTCAATTCAGGAGATAGAGCCAGCAGTTCCAAAGTTTCCTGGGCGGATGATGTTGAATCTGAGGTATTTTCTCCTGATTCAAATTTGATTCAGAAAATTCCTGCATCTTCTACAAGATTGTCTGGTTCTGATCCTGCGAATACTGCGGATAAGAGGAATCCAGTTGAGATTAGGACTGAGGATATTGTTTCCTCAGATACTGATGATTCAAATAGGAATGTTGATAAAAATTCTGTAAATTCTAATGAGAAATCAGAAGAAAATGGCCAGGAAAAAATACAGAAAAATGAGGAAAATGTGGAAAAGATGGAATCAGTAACAAGTAAAACTTTTGCTAGCTTGTTTACTGATAATAGAAAAGCAGGAAATGGACTATCTCTGAGCTATTTGCCATCGTATAATGCTAACACAGTCTCATTTTCTGATGAAGAATGGAAGGAAGGAGAAAATTTATGGAAAAATGCCCTAATTGGACATGTCATAGGATTAAATGTCAAGTTTAAATCAATGGAATCCTATGTTAGCAAGTTATGGGGATCTATTTCTATACCGAAGGTTTCCTTAATCAAGCAGGGACTCTTCCTTTTTGATTTTCATTCAGAGAAATCAATGAGAGATATTCTTGAAGCAGGACCCTGGTTCTTTGGATCTCGGCCTCTTATGTTAAAACCTTGGAATATTGAAGCAGATATGGATAAGATGCAAGATTTCTACTATCCTATGTGGATACAGTTTCCAAACTTAAGACTAAATCTCTGGAGCTCTACAGGAATTAGTAAAGTTGCTAGTCTTATTGGAAAGCCTATTTCAACTGACAAGCTAACTGCAACTAGGCAAAGACTTAGCTATGCAAGAGTTTTAATAGAGGTGAAATTACCTTTAAATGACTCTTTGCCAGACCAGTTGACAATCAAAGGGCCTGATGGATCTAGCTATGTTCAACCAGTCATATATGAATATAAGCCTAAATGGTGTACAATATGTTGCAAAATTGGACATGATAATGAGCAATGTAGAAGAATCAAAACAAAGAAAATGTGGGTTCCAGTAGCTAAACAGACTGTGCAGGAGGAAGTCAATCCTGAGCTTATTGTTACAGGAAACAACTCTACACAACAAGATTCTGATGCCAATATTGGCACTAGTGCACAGGAAGGAAAAGCAGTAAGTCCTTTTGATTCCCTAAATCAGGAAGCTTTGTTAACTGGAAAACGTGCACAAAAACATGCACAGACAGTTTTTGCTGTTCAGGTGAATGAATCTGGGACTGGAAAGGCAGCAGAATATGGGATAAATGCAATAAATGATTTGCAATTTCATCAAGCTACACCAAGTGTTAATACAACTGGTTTTTCCAGTATAAGCAGGGCAAAAATTGCAAGAAGAGCTTCTATAATCAAACCTGCTAACCCAGGTATTCAGTTATCTCTTTTCTCTTCATTGGATAATCCCTCATGTGTTGACAGGGGTGGGAGCTCTTTTTAATGCACATTGCTATTTGGAACATAAGAGGATTTAATAAATCCTCTAAACACAAGATAGTGAGACAGTTTATTCAAGAATACAATCTCTCATTGTTGGGTCTTCTGGAAACTAAAATTCCTGGTAATAAACTCCAAAGTTTGGCTATGAAAATAACAAAAGACTGGAAGTGGATTTCTAATGTTCATGAAGCTGGTAATGGAAGGATTTGGTTACTGTGGGATAGTGATATTCTTACAGTGCAAGACATAATCTTAACAGACCAATACATTACCTGTCGGGTAGAATCCAGAGATGGTAAATTCTCCAGCTTATGCACTATTGTTTATGCCCACAATCAAATGACAAGCAGGAGAATTCTTTGGAGTGATCTTTTAACTTTTAAAAGTAATGTTACTGGTCCCTGGGTTATTGGAGGGGATTTCAATGCAATTTCTGGTTATGATGAGAAGATAGGAGGTGTATCTGTATCAGAATCTGATATTGAGGATTTTCAGAACTTTATCATTTCCAGTCACCTTCTTCATTTGAAATCAACTGGATGCTACTTCACTTGGAACAATAAGCAAAATGCAGATACAAGAATCTGGTCCAGGTTAGACAGATGCTTAGTAAATGAAGACTGGATTCATCTATATACAACAAGCCAAGTTGAATATCTGCTACCTAGCTGTTCTGATCATTCCCCTGCTCTTCTAACCATTGAAGATGATATTATAACTGGTAAGAGGCCATTCAAATTCTTCAACATGTGGGTAAAGCATCCTGACTTCTTGCCTACAGTCAAAGCTATTTGGGAACAAAACATAGATGGTTTCAAAATGTACAGTTTCCATTCTAAGCTCAAAATGCTTAAGACTGCTCTTAAAGATCTAAATAAGAAGCACTATATGAATATTAGTGAGCAACTTAAAGATCTAAATAAGAAGCACTATATGAATATTAGTGAGCAAGTTCTTAGAGCAAAAAATAGCTTAACTGAAGTTCAAGGGCTACTGTCTGGATATGAATATTAGTGAGCAAGTTCTTAGAGCAAAAAATAGCTTAACTGAAGTTCAAGGGCTACTGTCTGGAGATCTTTTCAATCCTGATCTGATAAGAAGAGAAAAAGATTGTTTCAAAAAATATGAAAGGCTTCTGGACTGTGAATCATCTTTTTACAAACAGAAAGCAAACATTAATTGGTGTCTAGATGGGGATAGAGGTACTAAATTCTTCCATTCCATCATGAAAAAGAAAAGGCATCAAAACAGAATTATATCTCTTTATACAGAGAATGGGACTAGGATCACTGACAGTGCTGATATTGTTACTGAAATTGTGGATTATTACAAAAAATTATTGGGGACTTCAATTCAAACAGTTCATCCTGATCCAATGGTTATTGCAAATGGCCCTCTTCTATCTTCTGATCAAAGTCATGAGCTGAGCTCTCCAGTTACAAGGGATGAGATTAAACAAGCTGTCTTTTCTATGGCAAATGATAAAAGTCCAGGCCCAGATGGTTTCAGTGCCCTCTTCTTCAAAGCATCTTGGAGTATTATCAGTGAAGAACTTTTCTCTGCAGTCGAAGAATTTTTCAAATCAGGAAAACTGCTTGGTACCTTCAACTCCACTTCTATTACTTTGATACCTAAGATTTATAATCCTCAATATGCTGCTGATTTTAGACCTATATCTTACTACAACTGTGTATATAAAATCATAACCAAAATCATTGCATCCAGAATTCAGAAGGTAGTGAGATATCTGATAAGTGATGCTCAGAGTGCTTTTGTGAAGGGTAGGCTTATATCAAGCAATATCCTTTTAGCTCATGAGATTGTTAAGCATTATGGTAGGAAAAACAATTCCCCTAGAGCCATATTAAATATTGATTTGAGGAAGGCTTTTGATACAATTAGTTGGGTTTTCATCAATGACATGCTGAAAGGTTTAAGATTCCCAGACAACATGATTTCCTGGATTATGGAGTGCATCTCTACCCCAAAATTTTCCATATCTATAAATGGTACTCCTCATGGGTATTTTCAAGGTGCAAGGGGTTTGAGGCAGGGAGATCCCTTATCGCCTTATTTGTTTGTTATTGGAATGGAATATCTGTCTATGAAATTAAACACTCTCAAGGGGGACAAGCTCTACAGGTTTCATCCTAAGTGCTCAAGACTGAAAATAACTCATTTAGCTTTTGCGGATGATCTTCTTCTTTTTGGCAGAGCTGATATGAATACAATATCAAGACTAAGGGATTGTCTAGCTGAATTCAGTAAAACATCTGGCCTTGAAGCTAACCCATCCAAATGTTCCATATTTATGAGTGGAGTAGATGATAATCTGAAGAACCAAATCTGCAATCTCCTCAACTTCACTGAGGGTACTCTGCCTTTGAGATATCTGGGACTGCCTCTGATAGCTAAAAGACTCTCTTGGATGGATTGCTCTCCCCTTATTAATAAGATTTCAGACCAATTTAATAATTGGCTCAAGAGAAGATCCCTCTCGTATGCTGGCAGGTTACAATTGATTAAAACAGTGATTATGGGAATACAAAACTACTGGACCAGTAACTACATACTCCCTATCAAAGTTCTTCAAAAAATAGATAAAATGTGCTCAGATTTCTTATGGGGGCATAAAATTCATCTGGTGAGTTGGGGTTCTATATGTCAGGAAACTGAACATGGGGGTCTTGGAATATACTCTGCTGTGCATTAGAATTATACTATGGCGGCCAAACTTCTTTGGATGATTCATCTCAAGAAGGATATTCTTTGGATTAAGTGGATTCATGGTCACTATCTAAGACAGCATACTATCTGGCAAGTCCAACCAAGGAAGAATGATTCATGGCAGTGGAAGCAGCTTCTAAGAGTGAGAAATTTGCTGATTGATAAACTTGGTAGTGTGAATAATCTCCAAAATGTCATCAGGGATAGCTGTGCTAATGATAAAATCAAAGTCTCAGTGTTGTGTAGGAGAATTTTTCAGAACTCAAATCTGGCTACATGGTCAAGGACTGTTTGGGGAGGATGGAATCTACCTAAACATTCATTTATTCTCTGGTTGGCATTCTTATCAAGGCTGCTAACACAAGAAAGACTTTGCAAAATGAGAATACTGAACTCAAATCAGTGCACACTATGTTCAAGAGATGGACAGATTGAAACCTGTCAGCACCTTTTTTTTGAATGCCAATATTCAGCTAGTGTTTGGAATCAAGTTATGGATTGGCTATGCTTCAAAAGGAAATCATGCAGGTGGGATCAAATCACCAGCTGGTTTGGGAACAATTTGAGAGGGGAAAGTTTCAAAATAAAGCTTAAAAGGATGGCATTATCTACTTCAGTCTACATGATTTGGCAAGAGAGGAACTTGCGTATATTTCAACCGCAACTAAGAGGGCCTGATCATCTCTTTAGCTTGATAAAGATACATGTATATACAAGGATTTTGAATGATAATATACCTCAGCACATAAAGAACTATGTAGAGAATTTTTAGTTTTTGAAGACTGTTTCTGTAACCAGTCTTGAGATAGACATTGATGTATTATAACTTCCATATATTGGTAATGAATAAAAATTTTCATTGACCAAAAAAAAAAATATGCAATATTAGCTGGTAGGGTTCAATTATTTGCTTGATTAAAGCATGAACGTATTTGAATTATTTCAGTCAATATATACTGAGAATTAATAGACACTAAAAATCTTTTCAAAACTTTATAAATATAAATTTACTATTCTTTTTTTCCAATCATGAGATTATATCTTAATAAGATCACCTAACGCATTGGTCTCTATTTGATTCCATATTTTCCTGCCTACGTATCCACTAGAATAGATTATAATTCATTCATTTTAAACGTTACGTCAACTTGATCTTTTATGATGTCTCCAAGGCAGACCATGTTACCAACCATGAATATGTAACATCTACGTGTCCCACGCCCGTGTTAATTTTATAGTGTTAGCTTCAGATAAATCCGTTTCTCCTAACACCAAATCCAATCTTTTGTTAACTTTATACATTTATTCATGCAAAATCCGACTTTCCCAATATACCCCTCTTATGGGAAAAATGTGTCCAGACCCAAAAAACAGAAATTTCATGTGCTGCAGCCCCTCTTGGTTTCCCCCATGTGATTTAGCCCCTTGAAGTGTGACACTTTGTGCTGTAGCCCCTTTTTAGCAATTATTACGTGCCAGCTAAGCTAAAATCCCCAAAATAACCTTATCCCCTCTTTTCAATCTCTCAAACCCAGCTCTCTCATCTTCTCTCTCTCTCTCTCTCTCTCTCTCTCTCTCTCTCTCTAAAACCAAGGGTTTTCTCAAGCTTGTCGCCCTGACCCTCGCCCTCCTCGCCGTCGCCGTCGCCTCCTCCGCCCAGGCCCCTAAGCCTCGCCCTCGAGTTTGCTACCGCCTCCCCTCCTCTCCTCCGTCCGACCTCATCGTCGTAGCTCGCCACCGCTCCCTGTCTCGCCCTCGACCATGTCGGAGTTCGCCGCTGCCGCTCTCCGCTCTCCGCCTCGCCCTCGAATTTGTTGCCGCCTCCCCTCCTCTCCTCCGCCCGACCTAGTCTTCGTAGCTTGCCACCGCTCCCTGCCTCGCCCTCGACCACGCCAGAGTTAGCTATTGCCGCTCTCCGCCTCGCCCTCGAGTAAGTGAAGAAGTCCTTTATACTTACGTTACATTCATTAATTTCAGAAAAATATGACAGTTTTAGTTTTATCTAGCAGGCGAATGTGTATTCTGGGTTGCATGAAAAGCTTATATTACAGCAAAGAGCGATGTCACCTCTAATGAAGTATTTTGTGCATCCCACAACGAGCCTGTTATGTTTGCTGGATATGAGAGGAAAATCATAGAGTTTAATTAAGTATTCAGTTCATTTGTTTCTCATGTGTGACTTAGCCTTGTGTCAGAAAAGCAAGGGCTCACGGAAGTCTCGTGATTTACATAAATCAAAATTATATTTTTATGTTAAGGCCATGTCATCAATTACCCTTAATATACAACTTCTAGCGTGTCTCGCGTGTTAATTTTTCAGTATTAACTTCAATCCATTTCTCTTAAAACCAAATCCAATGTGGCTTAAATTTATGTATTCATGTCAAATCCTACTTACCCGTGTATTCTCTTATAAATTAAGAACAAAACATTCACGTAAGGTATCAAAACGAGCACTATGGCATCTCTCCATGTCGATAGCCCGCAAGAGCTATTCAGAGCCCAATCCCATATATGGAACCACACATTTAGCTTCATAAACTCTCTGTCACTGAAATGTGCCGTAGAGCTCAACATACCTGATATCATTCACAATCACGGCAACTCCATCACTCTCTCCGATCTATCGGACTCTCTATCCATTCCTCGATCGAAAACTCCTTGTCTCCGGCGCCTCATGAGCCTCTTGGTTCATTCCAAATTCCTCTCCGAAGAGAAAATTGGTGTCAACAATGAAGAATCAGTTTTTTCTCTCACTGTCGTTTCTCAAGTTTTTCTTACAAAAAATAAAAGTAATGCTTCTCCGTTTCTCCTCTTAATGTTGGACCAAATTTTCCTTCGTCCGTGGCATTTTCTTAGCGAGTGGTTCAAAGGCGACGAGCCCACTACCGCCTTTGAAATAGCACACGGGATGCCTTTGTGGGATGCTACTCGAAAAATGATAGTATTTAATGAGATGTTGAACGAGGGGTTGTCGAGTGATGCTAGTTTCACTGCGGAGATCATTGTGAGGGATTGTGGTGAGGTTTTCCAAGGGTTGAGGTCTTTGGTTGATGTCGGAGGGGGCCCGGGCAAATTGGCATGTGCAGTTGCGAGGGAGTTTGGGTTGAAGTGCAAGGTGCTCGAGCTGCCTCATGTGGTTGCGGGGTTGGAGGAGAGCGAGGAGGTGAAGTTTGTCGGAGGCGATATGTTTGATTATGTGCCAAAGGCAGATGCAGCATTGCTCAAGGTAAATTATGTATTTCCGTTGCAAATAAGCTTGTTCTTTTGAACATACTATGTTTTATGCACGTGCAATTCACGTGATTAAGTATCATGATTAAGTATATTTAGTTTATTTACCTACTAAACTTTGTTCCTTGGTTCCACTTTGATTGTTTTTGCTTACTTATATCTCTAAACTTTAGCATTGTGATTATTTATTTTCTTTAATGTTCGTTTAAATGAGCTACACCCAATTTAAATTTTCATGTTGATAATTAAATTGACCGGAAATAAATGTAATTTGAAATCAATTTGAATTATCATGTCATTTAGACCAACATGAAACCAAGATTGAGCTGAGAAAGTATGACCTTTCACAAGTGAAAAACACTTCAAAAAATAATGTTCTAAAAGGAAAATTAATAATTAAAGCTAATAAGATAAATTGATTGATTAAAAGTGAGCTAAAATAACACAAGATAATATAGAGTTTGCTCCTAATCTTTGATAGACTTTAAAAAATCATAAACTAAAAATTAATGCTAACTCTAATACACTTTTATATAATGAAGACATCCACATGAGCATATAAAAGTACTAAAAAAGTTTACGAATATCCCTTATAAAGATTCCTAATTTACTAAAAAAAAATTATTCTATAAAATATTCAGAAAATAGTGCTTTTTATTCTCTCTGTTTTATTTTTTATTGAGATGTTATCAATCATTCTCCACCTTTATATTTTTCGATAAAATTAGACTACTTTTAGTTGTCGAAAAAGGATAGTAAAACCTTAAATTAGAAGTTAAATTTATATATATTTAATAAAAGAATATCAAACAACTACTCTTTTATTTGGCTAAATTTTGAATTTTTAGTTGCTTTTTTGTGATTTTGAAACTTTTAAGGGTGTGTTTTGTAAATTTTAAAATTTTAAAAGTATTATTTTTTTATTTTAACTATTAAGTTGGGTGCTTGTAATTTTTATACTTTATGTGATGGTGGTAAGTTTTGGAATGCTAGGATATTTTTTGTAACTTTGGATTTTGAGGGTATTTTTTGCAATTATTGAAACTTTGGATTGTTTGTTGCAAAATTTAAATTTTTAGCGGTCTGCTGATAATTTTGAGATTTAATATGTATTGGTTATAAGTTTTTAAAATTTAGGCTTTTCTGTGATTTTTAATTTTTGAAAGAGTTTTTTACAATTTTTATAACTTTGAGGTTATGTTTAATAAATTTTAAACTTTCAATGTCTGATGGTGATCCCTTGAATTTATCTTTGTTGTTTGTAAGTTATGAAATTTTAGAATTTTAGGGTGCTTTTTTATTATTTGAATTTTTGAGGTGTTTTTATAGTTTTCAAAAATATTGAGGGTGTAATTATAAATTTTAAATTCTTCAGTGGTAGCTGTTGATATTCAGATTTCATGTTTGTTGTTTTACATTTTAAAATGTCTAGATGTTTTGTGTAATTTTAAACTTTTTAGGGTGGTGTAATTTTTGAAACTTTTAGGTTTTTTGGTAATACTTCATATATTATATCATATTAATTCTTTACCTTAAAAGACTGATACAGTGGAGCTATTTTATGTATTTTATTATCTTATTTTTTTAAACTATTGTTCAGTAAGTAGTTCATATGAGATTAAGATAGGATATAATTATCATTAGGATAGATTAAAATTTAAATAAAATATTCAAAATAGTCAAAAGTAATATTGATCATGAAATTTTTTTCCTTAACTCGTACTTTTAAAGAAAAAATGATATGATATGATTAATCCCCAAATTCGACCATCTCCAGGATTATGTAACTATATAAATGTAGCGTAGTTGCAAATATAACTCAAGTTGCAGTCAATAACTTACAGGGATTGTAATCGCACGCAATTTCATTTACACTGCAAACAAAGTATGTGATCAAATAGGGAGTTAATGAGTAGGACCGACAATAAATCACGGTGTATAGGATGCACATGCTAATGTCTAGTTGTCATATAGTAGTTAGATATCCTACAATATTAAACCACTCTGTTTAATTTAATTGCTATAAAAAATAAAGCTGGTCCTTGTCGAGTTGGTTTCAATTTGCAAAATCTCAATCTAGAAAGAATAAAAAAAAGAGAGATAAAACAGGAGTAAGGCGAATACATAACACTTAGCTGTTGGGCTAAAGTTAGTTCATAACCTCTACTTAACACATATTAACTTTCGATTGTGCTCAATTTCTTCCCAATAACTGATTGTTGAATCTAAAATGCAAGCCTAATAAGAATGGGGGAAGAGGGGGTGTTGAATAGGGTCGCCACCATTTTTCGCTAAATATATAGAATAAACAGCAGAATGGACAAAATAAAAGCTTAAAACAATCAACCAAGGACACGCAGAACTTTATAATGGTTCAGATAATAATTTTACATCCACTCTTCCTTCTTATGAAGGGGCTTCATTGCTATATTAAGAGTTTGTCTGAATCACAACCCGATTTAGTAAACTTACAAAGACTGCACCCTGAAATCTGCCCAAAACCATTCATCTAACCTAACTCTCGAAAATGAGTAACACCTAAACCTAGCTAGTGCCAACCTTCAATTAATACCAACTTGAGTACACCGTAAAAATAAGTTTGAAATAAACAAATAAAGATAGTTTAAGCACAGAAAATAAGAAAGATGTTACATCTTTTTTTGACTCACAAATCGCCCTTTAATGAATCAAAGTGAAGCTTGATGAAGAACGGTGTAGATAATAAAATCAAGGGCAACTATCCTCACAAAGATGACCTAAAGTTTATGAGCGCGATGAAAAAGTGTTTGTTGAGGCTCAAAAGAAAATTCAAGAAAATTAAGAAAATTATGTACATACAACCAAAAAGGTCATCAGGTCAACTTGCTAGATATCAAAAGATAGAAAATCTAAATCTTGTCTCACTATACTAAAATGGTCATCAGGCAAAGGTTTTGTAAAAATATCTGTAAGTTTTTAATGAGTGGGAAAAATTCAATCTGAATATTCTCCTTAGCAATGTGGTCCCTAACAAAGGGATGTCGATCATTTATGTGTTTTATACGTGAACGGCTAATTGTGTTGTTGCTCAAATAAATTACACTATTATTGTCACATCTAAGATAAACTTTCTTAAAGGTGATGTCGTAGTCCTGCAAAGACAAAGACATCCAAAGGGCTTTTGCACAATAACTATCTAATGCAATGTACTCAGCCTCTGTAGTACATGAACCTACATAGTTTTGTTTCCTACTAGAGTAAGAGATCACAAAATATCCTAAAAGATGTATTGTTCCACTAGTGCTCTTCCTATCTATATGACATCTAGCATAATAACTATCAGGATATCAAACTAAACCAAAAGAATTACACATAGGAAATCATAAACCGAATTTTTATGTTCTAATCAAATATCAAAAAATTCATTTTACACCTTTGAGATGTGATTCTTTAGGATTGGCTTGGAACCTTGGACAAAAACACATAGAAAATATAATATCAGGATGGGAAGCAATAAGATATAAGAGACTATCAATCACTTCCTAGTATCTCTTTTTATCAATTCCCGCACCATCCTTTGTAAGCTTTACTGAAGGGCTCATCAAGGTTGAAGGAGCTTTCAATTTATCTATATCAAAGCGTTTAAGAAAATCTTTCACATACTTTTAATGTGAAATAAACACTCCATCTTTATTTGCTTCACTTGAAACCCAAGAAAATATTTTAGATCACCTATCATACTTATCTTGAACTTGTTTTGCATCAACTTTTAAAACTTATGGGAAAGATCCTTATTAGTAGCTCCAAAAATAATATCATCAGCATATACTTGCTCAATAAAAATGTCTTTACCAATAAATGTAACAATTAAGGTATTGTCAACAAACCCCTGTTTAAACTTATCTTTAAGTAGATAAGAACTTAGACGATCATACCAAGATCGAGGTGCTTGTTTAATACTATATAAAACTTTATCTAACTTATATACATGGTCTAGAAAAGCATGATAAATAAAACACTAGGTTGTTCTACATAGACTTCTTCCTTTAGGTACCCATTTAGAAAGTTACTTTTTACATTTATTTGATTTTATAAAGGAAAAAACCAAAATTCTATTTTTTTTAAGTCTAGCATCTGAAGCAAGAGTTCCATTGAAATTCATCAATTCTATTTGCTTTTAACCTTTAGCAACAAGTCTAGCTTTATTCCCCATGACATTACCTTTTTTGATCCAATCTATTTTTAAAGACCCATTTAGTTCCTACAATAAGGTGATCCTTAGTTTTAGGAACCAAATTTCAAACTTAATTTCTTGTGAATTGATTAAGTTTTTTTTTGGCATTGTAATACTCTTATTTTCATTATTGATAGTCTCATTCACATTTTTAGATTCTATTTCAACTATAAAATTCATACAAGCACAAAACTCTACAATAAATAGATATGTTGGTTCGGTGATCCCATGCCGTCAAAAGTTTATAGCGTCGGGACTTCGAACTTTAGAGGATAAGGGGCTGCATCCTATTCGGCAGGATAGGGTCTGGTAACTCCCTCATCTTGGAGCTCGCTTCTGTTAGCAATGGTATTGAGGCGGGCTTCCAATTCTTCTATTTTGACAAACTGGAGATTCTGCTCGTTCTCCGTCTTTCTTCCTTCATCAGAGGAAGATTCCAGGTTATGGGCTTCTTGGTCAGAAGCCGTGTCATCAACCATTTTTTCCTTCCCTTTGCTTGTGTAAAGTCGGGATGAAGACACTTTTTCTCTCCGGGAAGATTCTTGCCTAGGTGGCGAATCTGTCTTCTGAAATTTGGCCTTGTCTGCGACGAGTTGAGTTAACAGGGCCATGAGTTCATTGATGGCCTCCTGCTGAGATTTGAGCATGGTCTCCTGCTCATCAAGTCTCTTCGCGAGATCTTCATGGTTTCCCGTCATATAAGCGAAGCTCTCCTATTCAACAAAAGAGCTTGATGATTGGGACTCTGCAATGGCTGAGTGTTCATCATCGGAATTGGTTCC